CTTTGGTTTTTATCATAACAAGGTTTGTGAGTTTTACCTTTCATGGATTCTTCCGCTGATTTGAGACTTGCATTCGCTGAAGATCTGATGCGCCATTTACTTGAGTGTTTACACATTGTTGAAAACCTGATGCGCCATTTATTTGAGTGTTTACACATTTTAAAGAGGAGTGTTGCAGTCCTAATAGTTTAAGAATGTGATCGTCTAAATCTTAGGAAATCCTCATAGGATTTTACCATTATCGTATTTGAATTATAATCCTATTGGATAAGGAATTAACCTCGCATACTACTATAAATAAAGACATAATGAGATTAAGAAAAACACCTCATAATTCACCAATTTCTCTCTGTATCCTTGACGCTCCTCTTTATAATTCCCCAGTGAAATAGGCCTACAACAAAAATTTCAATTCTACACGGCATCTCACGTATTCTGCTAATTAAACCTAAACCCATTTTTTCAAATTTTAAATGTGTTTTAGTAAAAATAGAATTCAATTTTTACCTAGAAAAATAAAAATAGAAGAAACCCAGCAAACTATTTACCAGCGGGTACAGAGAGGAACAAGTCAACGAAGACGGTAAATAGTAAAACAGTAAACACCTTTTGTACTCTGTCTGTCCGTGTTTGGCATTTCTCACTTTCCTTTTACATTTCAATATTCCTTTCCAATTTTTTTTTTTAATTTCTTTGCGTAATTTCACAAATTAGGATGTATTAAGATTTGGTTGCATTTGACGTGTCTAATTATTTCGTCAATCCTTTCTTAATTAGCGAAAATATTATATGCTAATTCGCAATTCTCCCACAGCCTTCTCCTCCTTCTCTCTATAATACCTCTCTCTCTCCTCCACACAGACACACCCAGACACACACCCCACCCACCATTTCTGCTACTCCTTCACTCCCTCCGGCTTCTCCTAAACCCAGCAAGGAAACCCGCCATAAACCCAGCAAGAAAACACATAACTAAAACCCCACCACGAAAAGCGGCGAGCAATGCTCCCATTCCGGCTATACGCCGCCGTCTTGTTCGTCTTCAGTATCTCCCTCCTCCTTCCCCCGTTCTGCATCGGGATTCGCTCGTTCCCGACGAGGGCGATCGACGGGGGGATGCCTTCGAACTCGGCTCCGCCGCCTGGGCCCGATTCTCCGAAGCCCCCGACTATCGAAACGGTGCCGGATGCGCCGTTTCGTTGAACCGGGAAATGGTGTCCTCCTGCGACCCGTCCCTGGTCCACATCGCCATGACGCTCGACTCCGAGTACCTCCGGGGGTCAGTGGCTGCAGTGCACTCAGTCATCAAGCACGCTTCTTGCCCGGAAAACGTCTTTTTCCACTTCATCGCCGCCGAGTTCGACCCGGCGAGTCCTCGGGTCCTGACCAAACTCGTCCGATCCACCTTCCCCTCCCTCAATTTCAAGGTTTACATATTCCGGGAGGACACCGTTATTAATCTCATCTCGTCGTCGATTCGGCAGGCGCTCGAGAACCCGCTCAACTACGCGAGAAATTACCTGGGCGATATTTTGGGCCAGTGCGTGGACCGGGTCATTTACTTGGACTCCGACGTGGTTGTGGTCGACGACATTCACAAGCTCTGGAACATTTCGCTCACCGGGTCGCGTGTCATCGGAGCCCCGGAGTATTGCCACGCCAACTTTACCAAGTACTTCACCGACGGGTTCTGGTCCGACCCGGTTCTCTCCCGGGTTTTCTCCTCAAGAAACCCCTGCTATTTCAACACTGGTGTGATGGTGATGGACCTGGTGAGGTGGAGGGAGGGAAATTACCGAAAGAGGATCGAGAACTGGATGGAATTACAGAGGAAGAGAAGGATTTACGAGCTGGGTTCTCTGCCGCCGTTCCTGCTCGTCTTTGCCGGCAACGTGGAGGCCATAGACCACCGGTGGAACCAACACGGCCTCGGCGGCGACAATGTCAGAGGCAGCTGCCGGTCTCTGCACCCTGGTCCGGTCAGTCTCCTCCATTGGAGCGGCAAGGGCAAGCCGTGGGTCAGACTCGAAACCAAGAACCCGTGCCCGCTGGACCACCTCTGGGTGCCGTACGATCTCTACAAGGCCGATCCACCACCTCAACCCGGCGAAGTTTCAATCTTTATCGTCGGTTTCTGCATCTACATTGATCGGGTTTTCCAGCTATTTGTCGTGAGATGATGGGGTTTATGATAATTCTTTCATACTTTGTTCATTCAGACATTCTTTCGATAGCTATTTTGTACAGATTGATTGAAATTTTAGGTGAATTTGTGATTCATGGGTATTTCATCAGTCTTAATTCTTTTTACAATTCTTTTTTTCTTGTTTCTGGAATTTCCTCGGCGGATTTCACATATGCGATGAAACAACTCAATTTTCCATTTTGGGGGTTCCATTTTTTGTAGCCGTTCTGCAGATTGAATGATTTTCTTTGAATGTAATCTCTGTGGGTCCCAAGAGGAGAAGAATTTTTGTCATCTCAAAAATCATACGCTTCTTGTTCTTGCTTCTTCCACTTCCAGGTTCCAAATTTTAATTTTCTGAATTATTGGCTGTATATTTGGTGTATAATTTTCTGTTGCATAAATGTAAATTTTCAAAGTGACCAAAGAATATGAAGGACACTTGACAGTGAGATGTGAACTGTGATAAGCTGAAATCAATGGTGTTAAAGCTCAATGGGTTCACGGACCTCCCTCGGGAGCTTTGATTGGGATGTCACGATGTCGGTAGTTCCAAACAACAGTGTCGGTAGTTTCAAGCAACCGTGTTGATATTTTCAAACAACCCGTATCGGTGCGTTATAGACATAAAAACCCCATTGTTGCCGATCCTTTGTAGCGCGTGATTGACTTACGAACCAAACTGACTTTCCAAATCAAGTCCTAACAGTGCGTGATTGACTTAGAAATCACATTTTTCGATTTCCATCCAATTATAATTCATTTTCTTATTTAGTTTGGTATTATAATATTTCAAATTATCAAGTTAGTTAATTGGGTGGCTAAGAGTAGGAGGAGGGGCTTAAACTCTAGTGCAAAAACTCATTGAGTTTCTGGTGGAAGATGTGCGTCAAGAAAAGATATTAAATGGGTGGCTTGCAGAATTCTTCACCACGTATCGTGTCATGATGCCGATAAGCTGCCAAGTCCATCCCCTTCCCTCTTTATATTTCCTCACATCAAGTTTGGTTGGTTGAAGCTTCTATTCTTTAATTTGGACTTTTCCATTACCTCATTAGGCTCATTTGCTTGTCCGCATCCAACTCTCTTTTGGCTTAAGAAAATCGAGACTTTTAATTCACATGTGTTAGTGTTATAGTGATGAAGTGGGGCATAAATTACTATTGGGACATCGACATGTCAGTTATTTTAAACTAATTATGCACTATGGTATGGAAATGTTAAAACACATGACATTATTTGATAAGTTATGGATAACAACTAGTTTCGCGGCTCAACCATGAAAAATTCATGTGTTTTAAGCTGATAAATGGGTACCAGGTGATGAAATGATGTAGATTTTCATGTGTTTTAAACTGGTAAATGGGTATGGAAAATTTTAAACTAGTTGTTTGATAAGTTATAACACAGTGGTTAACGTTTTACAATTATACTATGTAGATTTTCGATAAATTGGTAAATGGGTACCAAGTGATGGAATGATGTGATGTAGAGAAAATGGTCGAGTGGACTAAAGAGGAAATGGATTGACGGAAGACAAAGGGATGCCGCGGGACTTTACAGATTTGGCGCCTAAGCTCCAATTTGAGTCCATAATACATTTCGGAAAGGGAACGACGTCTCAATTGTGTAGGCTTCCAAAACAGCATTTGAAATTCTATAATAAAATACCGACCTTTCGATTTACGTCCGGAATATGTTGTTTTAATTTTCTAAGGCCCCTGAGTTTCTCTGGGACTGAAATAGTGTCTTTAAAAGATGCTTAACTGTTTATGTAATCTCATCAATTCAATTTTTAATCAAATACAACCTTTGAATTTTCTTTAAAAAAAACTTTTGGATTTCAGATTTTGTAATTTTGTGATGCGTCATGATGAGTGTGATAAGATTTTTACCACTGCAAAAGTATGGATAAAAATACTTGCAAGAGTACAAGATTATCGTAGTATAACAGCTCAAGTAAGGTTGTTTTCACAGGAATTAAATAAATAATTTGTATTTAAATTAATTCTTAATTAACTATTTAAAACAAAGTTTCGAAAACGTTGATATTATGACCTAGAATATTAAAAACGAATTTTAAGTTAAAACAATTAAAGAAAGGGAACAATCTTAGAAAATAATGATAAAATGACACTAGTGTTCCGTCATCACGTTAACAATAGTTTTACCAATTACTTATGAATTACACATGCAACTTTGAAGTTTAGGTTTTCCTTATGCATATTCTACTTGTGGCATTCAATCTAGAACATATATCAAACGGCTTGGTAGAAAAATCTAAAACTTTGATACAATCATCTTGAAAAACTCATGAACATTTTTCAATTGGAATCACTTCAAAATTCATCCGTTTGATCACTTTTTGCTCCAAAGGTAGTCGAATGTTCTACATTGAAAATATATAACAAAATATCAAAATTATATCAAAATAACTAATAAACTGTAACTAAGAATAGGGTAAAATATATAGTATAATATGGACTTATCAATGAGTTTAAAAAATGAGATTTTTTTGGGAACTTTAACGAAAAGCTTTCGGTATTATTCATTTTAACGAAAAAGCACTTAAAAGTCAATCATGGTACCATTCATTTTACTCTTTATTTTATCTTTATCGTTATAACTTAAAGTTTTCAAATCGTTTTCATTAATTTTTTTTTTACCGTGCGGAATCAAGTTATTACCACACATTTTTAAACCTAAGTCATTATCTGTACGTTACCCAACGGTGACAAAACCTTGAATACAGACCTAGACCTAGTGATGATAGCTACAAAAATTCCTGACAAAGTTCACTTACAATGCCCTTTTTCTTGTTTTCGTGCCACTTGTTACTGCAGCAGCAGTGAGCACAGTAATATGAGCTGAGCTGGGATCCAATCACTTTATTCTTTCAATTCCCACACATGCTTCACATTTACCCCCAATTTTCTCCATCCGAACACAAGGATTTCTTCCGATAAAGAAAGATCGAGTGTAATTAGACTAAATGATCGTTTGAATTGGCTTTATTATTCAAACAGTGAAACATATCAAGTCCTTGTATATAAAAAACGTAGGTTTCTGCTTTGTGAGTGTCAAAGTAGGAACGTCAATCATACGCAGTCCTACCCTTATTTTGCAAAAAGAATATTTCTACGACTCAAACCCATAACCTGTTGGTGAAAAAAAAAATAAATAAAATTTTCGATACGCCAAGAGTTGCCCTCATATTAAGTCCTTGTATATATATACATGACTAAAATTCTTAAATAAAGTTTTTGGGTTCTTTAAACAATTACATAATACATCATATACGACCGTTGGCAAGTGCATGCATGCGAAACCTAAGCTAACGTTCCACTTCCCCTCGCAGCCATATTGGCACAACCAACATGCATACCCTTTCCAAAATACTATACTGTCGTAACCAAATAAATATTTGCGCTTGGTATGGTCAATCGGGAATTTTTCCAAGACAGAATAGTTACATGATGTGACTAGTCAGTCAACCGGTACAATATCCGGTTGAGCAGCCGCTCACATCTTGTAACTATCCTGCAAAATCAACCTCCGAGGTTCCTTCGAATCCAGGCAGCGTTTAGGTCACTAATCTGAAACCCTTCTTCAAAATCTCGACGGGGTTTGAAGGCTCGGATGTGAACGAGGCCATAGACGCAATTTGTGCACCAGGGTTTTGGCTACCGAGCCCGGCCAATGCCACGGCTGGTTCCAACGAGTCGTAGTTGTACAGAAAATGTATCAAACCCTTGGGGAACACAAAAGACTCACCAGGCCTCAGTTGCTGGGTAAAGACCCGGTTTGATGTGTCCACAAAGCCCACAAGAAGGAAGCCCGTGAGGCAGATTGTGACCTCCGAGGCCCTTGGATGCAAGTGAGGTGGCACAATCCCATTGGCATCTATGTCAACTCGGGCCATGGTCAGGCCCAATGTGTTGAGCCCGGGCAGATTGAACCGGTTGGTGAGGGTCACGTTGAAGCCGTTGGCTTTAGTGTCGCCTGGTTTGGATAGGGCTGATGTGGTGAAGTGGGAAGAGGTTGCTAGGTTTGGGTCAATGCATGGTGCACCATTGAGGGAAAATTCCTGAGGGGTTTCCGGATCCGCTACGCAGTAGTCCTGGAGCGGATCCGGGTCGGATTTGGTGCGGCCGAATAGAGCTAGGTTAAGGAATAATTGGAGAAAGAGATAATTGATTGTGTTCATGTTTTTGCCTTTGCTAAAACCTACAAATTTTGGATATTTTTATATAGGAAATATTGGATTGTGATGTTTAGTAAAAATTGATGGTTAATTGGGTGAGGTGATTGAGTAGCTTAGGGGGTATTGCCTATTGGAGGAGGAAAATACAAGGCAAGTAAAAGGCCCACAAAGGTTAATGATGCAGATTGTTACGATTTTGCTATCCATAGACTCTTTGGGCTTGGGCCCATATGTTCACTACTTGTCCGTAAAACGACACCGTTTATCTTGTCACTTAGGTGGCATTTTTACTTATCGATATATGATTCATAATTTCTCATGCGTTCACTAATTAATCAACAATAATCGGGGTCACACTTGAAAATCAGTGATCTGAAACTTAAATGATTAGACAACAGAACAATTAAAACTTAAATAGGATAAATTAGTTCATATTTGAACAACAAAATATCGTTTTGATTCGTAACTTTCTTGATTCCAAGTAAGTAAATCGAACTTTTCACCTATTTTAATCCTTACCCAATACATTTTCTTGTATGACCACTTGGATCCAACTAAAATGGCAACGTTTCTCTTAAGTATGGTGCAATGTACTTTGTATTGTTTAATGGAAGCAACTAAATGAGATGGGGGGACCACATACAGCCTAAGTAGATGGACACATATTAAATTGAAGGTGTTGAGTGCTTAGAAACTTTAGAAGCTTGGACCTGTCACATGTAACTGTAACTATCATGTCTTTCCACTTTACTTCCCTCTCTCTCTCCTCTCTCTCTCCTCTCTCTCTCTCCTTCCAAGTGGTTTAGTTTGATCACTGATTTGAACCTCTTGGTGTCTCTTTGGAAAAGGGATCTTTTCCAGATTCATTCCTTATAATTTATCAAGTTTGGAAATCCAGACCATTAAAATTTGATCAAACGGCTAAAGTTATTATAACTTTTAAAGTGAATCCTTGTTTGTTGCCGTTATATCAAATTTCAATGGTCCAAACTTCAGATCCCCAAACTTAATGGATTTGGAGGAATCCATTTCTGTCTCTTTAAGTACCCGATGGGACATCCACACGTATCAATAATATTAATACTTAGATGTGTGCATAATCGCATTGCAATTGAGTTTGAATTTCGTTCTGATATTTTTAGATTGTTTTAAAATAAATAATTTGCATCATACAATCTAATAGTATTATTCACCACTTATAACGTCTCAAATTCAACTTTTATAAATTATAATTCCAGCGTATGATAAACGTAAATAAAGAAACTTTGTTCCAACCAAAAATAATATTAAAAGCTTGGTTAGTTAAGATGGGTAGTCAAGACTCATATCTAGGTTTATTCAATACGTATACGCCCACTCTGATTTGTTGAAGCTTCACACTTACCCAACTAATCTCTATTTTCCCACTAATTAATCCTCCCATTTACACATTAATCCATCATGCACTTGAGTAAAAGAATGTCCCCAAACTGTTCAACTTTTTTTCTGAATCCACAGAGTAATAGCAAGTAAAAGCCAAATCTTCTTGGGGAAATAATATTTGGTGTTTGGTGGGTCATCATCTGCAACTGCAAGTTCAAACCTAAGCCTTTATCTCCACCTTTTTAATTTTTCATCATACAATTGGAGTTGTCTTGTTTTGCTGATTGATTACCTTTATCATTTTAGGATTTCCCAGAAGTGCCACAAACAGGAAGAAAAAGGTGAAGCCATGACATGCTAATTTAGAAAGAAAAAAGGCCACATGGATATGTTTTTCTTTTTCTTTTAATTTAATTTTAAATTTTTTTAAATTCTTTTCTATTTGTCCATATTCTGGGTTTTTTCTCGGTCTTGGTATTTTTTTAGTGTGTGTGTGATCCAGTTGGTTGGTGATGTGCCCCCATGCTTGCTGGTAGCCAAAGCTCTTGCTCTGTAGCCCTCCGGTAGCTTCCAAACACTTCCAATTCTTTTAGAACTCATGGGTGAATCAATAGTCGATTTTGCCAAGGATGCTGAAAAGGTACAACTTTTTACCTTAGATTTGTCGAAAAACATAACCCATGTGTTCGATTTTGTCTGCAATTGTTGTCGTTTGGGGATTGTGCTTTGTGAGTTTTGATTGATTCACTGTATAATTGCTAGATTTGCATGTTTTTGCTACTGTATTGTTGTTTCAGAACATGTTTTGGATTTTGGGTTTGTGTTAAATGAACAGGTGGTGGAGGGGGAGACAGTAGCTTCAAATTCTTCAAACCCTCAACTGGAAGTGTCGGTTTCTTTCGGAAGATTTGAGAATGATTCTTCACTGTCCTGGGAGAAATGGTCGACATTTTCGCAGAATAAGTACTTGGAGGAAGTTGGGAAGTGTGCCACTCCTGGCTCAGTGGCCCAGAAAAGGGCTTACTTTGAAGCCCATTACAAGAGGGTTGCTGCTCGAAAGGCCGAGGAGATGATGGAGCAAGAGAAGCAAATGCAAGGTGGTGATACCTTTAGGTCGGAATCTGATCAGAAGAGCGGAGATCAGACGGATTCCGAGGCTCATTTCGAAATTGATTTGGCTAACAGTCAAAGTAATGCCCAAGGAAATGATCAAGAAGCGAATTTCGACAGCGAGATTAGTGAAACTCATGTGCATGATCTCAAGGAGGACGATGTTTTTGCCATAGTGTGTCAAAACTCATTGGCTGTGGGAGAAAAAGAAGAAACAGATGGCAGAATGGATAATCCCGAATTGGACAATCCGGAGGAGGAACTTGTTTTGGTGAAAGAAGTAGAAAATGTCTCTGCTGAATCTCATGGAGTACAGGAGATTCCAAAGACTTTGGACAGTGATGTAGGAAGTGCTCCAGAAGTCAAAGAGGTGAAAGAGGAAAAACCCAGATTGGATCTTCGGAAGGTACCTCTGAAGGTGATGTACTTAACTGTTGAATCTATGTAGGAAAACTTGTTTGCAGATACTTTGGTCAGTATGTCAGTCTCAGAAATTGTTTGCTTGACATCTGATTTCGTATATCTTTTGCATTTTTCTGTTGAATAGGTTACTCCAATGAGCAAGGAGAGAAATGTGGCAAGTGTTAAGAAGAAGGCAGTTCCACCAATAGCAAAAACACCAGAGAAATCCGCCCCTAGGGTGTCAAAGTCTATATCAACTCCCACCCCTAAAGCATCGAAGTCTACGACAACTCCGACCCCTAGAGCATCGAAGCTGTTATCAACTTCCACCCCTAAAGCATCGAAGTCTACAACAACTCCAACCCCTAGAGCATCGAAGCCGTTATCAACTTCCAGCCCTAGAGTATCGAAGTCTATATCAACTTCCACACCTAGAGTGGCTAAGTCTATATCAACTTCCACCCCTAGAGTGGCTAAGTTTCTATCAACTTCTACTGCAACACCTTCATCGTGGTCCTCGGTAAAGAAGGGCAATGCTTCATCTCTCCCTAGGAGCAAAAAGCCTTCAACTGAGGAAACCAAGAAAGCTCCTCCCAAGTCTTTGCACATGTCACTCAATTTGGAATCCAGTCCCACAATGTCAACTTCGGTGACCACCACAACCAGAAAGTCTTTCATTATGGAGAATATGGGAGATAAGGATATCGTCAAACGAGCATTTAAGACGTTTCAAAACAATTACAATCAACCGAAACCCTCCATTGAAGAGAAACCTCCAACACCAAAGCAGGTTTGTCAATTTATTGCATATTCTCGTTTGAAGAGATGGCTGGTTACCTCAGTTTTATTTATTATAAGGGTTGGCATCAGAGCGTCTAATGTCAAATTTTATTTCTGGAAAATTTGTTATGAAAAAGCAGCTCTCTACAAAGGGGAAAGAATCAAGGGTTTCCTCCTCTGTACCCGTGACAAAAGAGAATGGAGGGTAAAGCCATAAACTCATATTCGACTGCTGATTGTGTATCCTGTGTGCATGAGATTCTTGCATAATATCAGTCTCTGCATGATAATATACTATCATGTTTCACGTTGTCGATTCAAACTTCATTTGGTGTCTCTGTTAATTTATATTGCATTAATTTTCTTTTCGTCGTAGGTATCTAGAAAAAAGAACTGCTAAGGCCGCTCCATCATCTGTTAGCTTGAGAAATGATGAAAGCACAGATAAAAGAGAGGTATCCATTAACAAACCCCCGAACTCTTTTTGTTTAAATTTATTAGCCGTAAATATGTAATCTCATTAAGCAATACATTTCAGTTTTCACAGAAATTGGCGGCTAAAACCAATGCAAAAGTGACAGAGAGAGCAAACTCCCAACCAAAGTCAAAGGTATCATCTTACAAACAATTATTCTTTTAAGGAGAATAATATTCTACCTGTCTAATTCAAGTTTTGTATGAATGTTCATGTGCTAATAGCCTATGACTGTTGCTATACAACTCATAGAAAATATAACTATGTTATATAGCCTGCAAAGTTTGAATTATTTCTCGGAACTGTATGCTTGACATAGGATCAAAAGGAGGCAGAGATAAAAAAGCTCAGACAGAGTCTTAATTTTAAGGCTACTCCCACACCAGGCGTTTATCGGGGGCCAAAACTGTCAAAAAGTACTCCAGAAAAGGTATAGTCTAATTCTGTTTATATCTTATGGCATAAGATCTGTACGCTCCATTTCAATAGAACCAGACTATACGATCATTCTTAGCGATACTTATAATCCTTCTTTCATGAAGTTCCTCCTCATTATGTCACTGAATACGCTTGAAAGTCGAGTATAGGGCACGTTTTGGGGATAACTTTTTTCTATATCGTGAAGTTTGTAGCCTCCCATGTGCTGTGTACTTCAGAACAAGTATAAAAGCTAATTATGCATATGCGAAGAATATGACGAGTTAAACACATTCAAAACACATATGCAAGAAGGAAAGATGCATGTGTATGCCTTAACACTAGCATTTCAATCTGTACAATGTGCTGCTGCACTGCATTTCTGAAATTATTGGTGTGATTAGTATTTTTTAACATATTTTTCTTTCCGTATTCTAATGCCAACTCTGACAACTTATGTAGGAGAGTTCCAACAATGAAACCCATCGGTGAAAAAATCTCAGGCGGCTGCAATGTCACTCGTCATCCTCCAAGAACCATGTCTACTTCGGGGGATCGACAAGGAAGGAGAATGTACGTGAAGGAATTGCTTCTTATGGAAGATCCATGCTTAATATTATCGCTTAGATGATGAGAAAGTGAACATGGTGAGTCACAACCTGTATATTTTGATGGCTAGAACAGATCTACTGCATGGTAATAATCTGCAGATGATAAGAAACAGGTCGGGGTTATGCTTTTCATTCCCTGCTCGTCCCAAATAGTATTTGGAGTTAGAAATGCTACGTACGCGTTGTATTCGAAGGTATAATTGTTGGAACTGTTATAATTACATGGTAATCCAAAGTTGGTCGCATAAATCTGGACATCATAAATGGTTACACCGTAATTGCAGACGAAAAAAAAAACTGGAAGAACAAATATTTGTGAATGGAACACGTAGTCGTTAGTAGGAAAGATGAAGACGAAGCCACGGTTTGGAATAAACCCTTGAAACTTTGAAAAAACTCTCAGCTATTTTCAGATTGTAATCGAGTTTGTAATCCATATACATTGTAGAAAGCCAATTCAAAAATCATTATCTGATTCACTGTTAGTGCTCGTAGAGTTTCCTGACATGAAATTCTTAGGCAATACTGGGAACCTCACGGGGTTCCTGGGCGGCGAGTCTGCTGACGATGACCCTAAACTCGCTGTAACCTTCTTCTTCCTCCGCTGTACATTTCGAGAAATTTCAACGCACGCTCGATCAACCATGCCTAGAAAATCCTTAACAATGACAAATAGTTGAAATGGGTGAGCCCCTTTATCCATAGAAGCCCCTACTTGATAGTATTCTGTTGTTTTCTTCACCAACTCCATCACCCTGCTCTGCTCTTCTCCCACCACCTTCAGCTCTTCCTCTGCTGCTTCAAGAAAACCATTCATGTCCCTAACGAATCTTCCACCACCGTTGTTCTCACATTGGAGCAGGAGTTCTCTGGTTTCCGCCACGCGGGCTGTGAGAGCCGAGCACATCTTTGCAAAGCTGTCATGATCTATACTAGCCGTCTTCTTCACACTAGAGAACTCGGCACTGATGCCTCCAACCACGGGCAATCCTAGCGTCATGTACTCCCTCTCTCTTTCCTCTTTTGGTTTTATATTCTCAGTATTTGAGTTTCTGTTATGGCTCTGGCTGTTGCTACGACTCAAGCTACGATTCGTGTTGATGACACACCGTTTCCCCTCAGATCGCACCACTTCTTCCACAACGAAATGCAGCAGTGTTGTTTTCCCGTCACTGCTTCTAACGTCGGATAGTTTTCGAAGAGAACTGAGGTTGAATGCTTGTGCATTTCCTCTCGAGGTTCCTGCATTCATGCGGTTTCCAGCCTTGAGAATCGCCTCTAGCAACTTCATGAACAGCCCTCGAGTTCGAAGCTCCTTGCACCCGAGTTCAATTGTTCGTATAGACTCCTTGAGGCTGGCAATCTCTGTGTCGTAGTTGTATCTGAAATGCATGGCATTGAATCGAGTAAACGCCGAGGGAACAGATTTGAGAATGTGATAGAGGAAACGCTCAGCATCTGCAAGCCTTGTAGGATCTCCGCTGTACTCGAGGATTTGGGATTTTTCTTCTTCCGTTGGAGCAATAGTAACAAGTTTTTCAAGAGTCTCTGCATTTAGCCCCCTGCCTTCCATGAGCACATCAAGGATTTCCTTTCGAGAAATCGTCAGCGATTTTATGACAATCGCAATGTTCTGGGATCTCCGGCTATCCAGGATGCAAATCTGCTGTGATGGACCGACGTTGGTGCCCCCCGGACTCGCTTGGCTGCTGTCTTTTCCGGGGGATAGCCGGTTGGTGGCAACAGTGCCGAAAAGCGCTTCCATTAGGTCACCATCAAATCTGAGAGTAGCAAACTTGTTAAGTTTTCAGAAACTTCAAAACCAAATACAATGGAAAACAATACACGGTTAAACCCGAAATAAAGAGTGGTGAGAAGGAGATAAATGGTGTGCGGAAATCACTTTCGTTACCTAAATGAACCATCAATTTTGTCCCACACCATGGAATGCTGAGTATTATGTGTGCTCACTTTGTCCCAATGCAGTGGCTTCAGTTTCACCTTAACATTTCCTGCTCCTGCTGAAGACTCCCCTGATTTGCCTTTCGGCCCTGGAGACGCTTTTGACAGCTCGTTCAAACTCCGTGCTTTGGGTGGAGGAGGCGGCGGTGCAGGACCATTCTTAGCTGAAACTTTCGGTGGAGGAGGAGGAGGAGGAGGCGCTGAGGAGCCTTTATTGTTTCGAATTGGCAGAGGAGGTGGCGGCGGAGGCGGCGGTGTTGGTGGTGGAGAAGGGGGAGGCGGAGGACTTGATGATCTAACAGTTAGCTCTACTTCTGGTTCCTCCGATATTTCAACAGCTTTAAGAGCCGTTGATCCATTTCGATTTCGATCATTCACTACTTCTGGCACATCATTGATGTGGGAAGCTGAAGACTTTCCTCTGAGGAGAGGAACTTCCCGTGCACGCTCATGCCTTCTTCTTCTGCTACTCCCTTCGTCTTCTTCACCATCTTTTCGAAAACTCTTCTTCGAATTCTTTGCTCGGAGTTTCTTCCAGTAAAGCACATCGAGACCGTTCTCATCAACAACGAACCCCTTGAGATTCCCATCATATCTGCCAAACTCACTCTGATCAGCCACAGGAGGCCGCGGCTGAGGCCGGCCACCTTGCGAACCTCCACTACCACCACCACCGCCACCACCATAACCACCGCCTTTAATTCTCTTGCGCCGGGCAACAAGGTACCTCTGCACAAAAAAGAAAACCAACCCAGAAATCACCATAGTGGAGGCTACGGTGGCTGCCACAGCCTTGGCAATCTCACTCTTTGACGAAGACTTTCTTGGCGGCAAAGGAACCGGCAGCGGCCGTGATTCCGGTTGCGCCGGAGAGTCTTCGGGAGGCAATGAAGGTGGGATTTCGGGTGGCGGAGCTGTAAACGGATAGAAAGTTTCGATATTTTGAGGGGATTGGCCATGACAAAAAGGAATAATAATAATTAAAAAACCGTAAGTGAAAAAACAAGAGAGAAGCCATGGCCGAATCCTGGCAGCCATGAAGCTTTTTGGGAAGATTGGAGAGATGGGTTTTTGGGAACTGAATCGGTTGGAAGTTTCTGTAAATTTGTTGACATCGAAAGCAGAAAAATCTATAAGTGTAATGGATGGATTTGTCGTGGTGCTTTTGGTGGGTGTTGGTTGACGAAAATGCTGAAAGCTTCAAAGATAGTAGTTGTTTGTTTTTCCAAAATTTCTTCCCGGGCTTTTTTTATATATAATTCAACCACTCAAAAACCCTTTTTAGTTTTTATCTTGTTTTTTTAATTGAAACTCAAAAGAGGCTTCTAAATTGGATTAAGTTCACATCCCCACTACTAACTACAAATCCACGCTTTAGGAATTCAAGATTAGGGTTTTAAATCATAAAATTAAATAAACAAATGAGAAAAGTGGAGGATAGGTTTGCTATTTCAAACCAGAAATTGTGGACAGCTTGTTGAAGTGACAAATCACCCAATTTTGTTTCTATTATAGTGTTGTTTTATAATTATGTTTAATAGATCTTGGTAAACTTGAGTGAAAAATGAATTCGGTTTTTCTCTTCAATTCATTGCGTTTTATGTTCAAACACTCTCTCTTCCCTTAATATAAATTAGTGTAGAACTTTTATATATATATATATATATATATAAATTATCATATGGATTCAAGCTATGTTTTAATATAATTTAAACTATGAGAAGAAAGTTTCGAACTTGGTTTGCAAAGAAAGATTATATATGTAGACAGGGATAGACACACATAGTCCCAAGACCACCAGGAGTCTGATAAATATACATGTGAAGGTCTTTCGTGGACACACCGAATGTTTGGTACAGGCTCCTTCTATACTTAACAAGTGTTTGATGTAATACTTGCTAGGGATATCTCAGTACGTTGTGTCGACAACACTAGACAAAATATCTCGATATCACTAATCAAATTGCTTCGGCATATGTTGACATTTGCTGACACGTGCACAACATGATTTGGTTGATGACAACAAGCCCACTGATGAAATGCCTTAATGAATAAACTGATTTTTTTTTTTGCGCGCTTCCGCTCTGTTTCTATCTAGAAATCTTGAACCTTTAACATTGAGACCCTCTGAAGTTCAAATTCTGAATCCGCTACTGTATCTAGAGCATAAAGCCAACATGTTTGGTGAAACTCCAAATCTTATTCCTAACCTTTTATGTGATATTTTAATGAAATATAATGGAGATTACTTGACCTGGCCGACCTAGTAATTAACGATTAGTTAAATCTTGAGTTAGTTAATCTTGTGCATAATGGTAAATCAACGAACAAAGTCAGTGGGAAAGGAACTTTCCCGATCCCTTTCTTCCTTCCTTGAATGATTTGTTCAGTTCGAAAGGCATTTAAGTTTTGACGCGTTGAAAGAAGAAAACTATGTTAAACCAAAAGACGACGAAACAATTTGGTCAACGAGTTCGGTTTCATATTTGAAATTAAGAAATCGAATTGTAGGTTTGACTAGACGATGAAGAAATTAGAGAAATAGTTGCTCACCAAATTAGTTTCACTGACCACATTGGATGATTTTATTTTATTTTGTTTTGGTTTAGAGGTCGCTGTCGTAAGTGAGTGTCCATGGTCGTTGGAAAATAACAGTGCCGGGTTAGTGATAAACTCTGCGCCGAGGTGGTTAAATCAAGAATTTGAAATAAAATTGGATTTTTCTGTAGGACAAATAGTCGTTGTATTATTGATGATCAAAGTGAGATACTTTCTTGAAGCTAAAAAAAAAATAAAAATCGTGCTTAAAACGTCGTATTTGAATGAAATTTAGGAGAATAATATTTTGATTTTAGCTTATATTTGCGAGAATAATTGTAAAAATGTTTAAGATGTTGTATTCAAATGAGTTTTGAATTTATCTAAGGTAATTAGTACTTTTGCTTGGGTAAGAGGTGATACTATGAATTTCAATTTTTGAAACTGTGTGGGAGAAATTTTTCATTGTATTCGGAATACGAATAATTTATCACGTGATATTATATAAGTAGAGTGAAATTTTATTTTTTGAGTTGTTAATCTTGAAACACAAGTATCTCACCATTTGTATAGTGACACGTGATGATGTTTTGAACATGCTAAAAAATCTCTCACTGGTAAAGTCGATGAGATGTTTGAAAATACTTTTAATCGTATTATATTTTTTCGGGTGAATGACTTCATTGTCAGATAAGACTATATGTTGGAGAAAATTAGAGAAAGAAGTGGGGAATCTTGAGAGGTTGATTTTTGTTATTTTATGATATGAAATTCAAGTCTACTTAGGAAGAAAAGATGAGTAGGAATTTCTCACCCATTTTTGTCTTCAAGTTTGTGGAATATTCCAACTTTTCCTTGAGCATCTAAATGTGGATTAATACAAGAAATAAATATCTCGAAACAAATGTTCTAACTCTGAAGAAGATGATTAAGGCAAACAAAGCATGTTCAAAATGGCTACTTATAGCAATGATCTCAAAAATTATAACTCGATTTGCTTTTTATGCCGAGTAGTTTTTCTAGACGTTGTCATGCCTGAGATTTTAGTCATTTCCTGTTATGTATATCGGTCGGCCATGATTAAAAAGGTAAAAGAGTCTTTTTATTCCTTCCATTGTATGACCATAGCTTCCGGACAAATATACAGCTTTCCTCCAAGAAACTAAGGTCGAGTTCGGAATTGCTGTGTTAATTTTTTTTCAAAACTGCTTCTGTTGTGTTGTGAGAATAAACAGTTGTGAAAAAAAAAAAATATGTAAGTGTGGGGTAAACTATAGTGCTAAAAGTGCTTTTAGCAAAAAATATGTGCTTCTACAATGACTGAAAACGTTTTTAGATAAAATATTTTTGGGTTCCAAAAGCACATGAAGTGCTTTCTGCAAGAAGCACTAGTTATGTGCTTTTCTAGGATTTACTTGCATTTTTACTAAAGATTGGTTCCAAAACATTTTCATCAAAATGCTTTTAGTTATTTTAAAAGCACATTCAAACGAGCACATAGTGTCAAAACGTTTAATAAACTATAGTGCTAAAAGTTCTTGAAGAAAAAAAAATAAAAAAATACACTTCTTCTAGTTTAACCATTTCCTAGTATTCTCTCTCACAATTTTTGTGTCGGAATAGGGCCTCCATACATGGGCTTTATGTTTTGCTGTTGGTCTCTATGGACTTGTATATATTTGTTTGGGCTGGGCCCGTTGGCTTTTTATGTTTAATTGCGGTTTATAACTTTATAGGCCATTTTCCATAGATTTAAAAACGGCCCAATTTGCTAATGACAAGGTGACTTTGCATTGCTTCAAGCAAAGCGCTTTCTTGCGACTGAGAGTTGATTGAAGGTAGTGGATGGGCATTTTAAACTGCCAAACCGAAAAACCGACATGGACCGGACCGACCTTCGGCTCATTCTCCTTTGATTACAAGCAATATTCTGCAGGACGGCGAAAAGGATTTGAACCAGAGATGTAATGAGTTGAAGAAGAAGGCCCTAACTACCATGACAATAATATTATTCTCTTTTATTTCCCAATATCAGAAAAATAAAATGTTCTTCTAGTGTGCTCAAGTTCTTCGTTTAAATCATGGTTCCGAAATTTGGTTTGGGTGAAAGGCCAACCCCTTTTGTATGCATAGATGGGTCCAGTCGAAGTTAGCATGAGTTTTCACATCAAATCTCACTTAAATCAACGGTTTAAAGTCATTGACGCATAACCAATAGGTAAAAGTAAAAAATAAAAAATAAAATAATAAGATGATGTCTTGTTTTGGGTAGTGTTGTACACAAACCCTTCTTTGCCTCTCACACACCTTTATTAATTTTGTCTATTGATTATTCTTTAATTCATTTAATCCGACAGCCGAAAATTAAGAGGGGTGTGCCAAGGGTAAAAATGGGAGTGTGGATAGCACCACCCGCTTTTTTTCTAAAAAATTATTGCTATTATGTGGGAAAAATTCAAGAGTAAATTGTAGCAATGGTCCCTTAACTAAAAATCTATTACCATTGGTCCATCAATTCATCAGAATGTATAGCTATAGTCTTTTTCATCAACTTTGTCAAAAATTTGTTTAAATGAGTTATGCTGAAATGACCATTGCTACAATTAGGTTCTTCAACTCATCAAAACGTGTAGTTATTGTGACATCCCACATCGCCCAGGGGAGTGATCCTTATATGTATATTCCCATCCCTACCTAGCACGAGGCCTTTTGGGAGCTCACTGGCTTCGGGTTCCATGGGAACTCTGAAGTTAAGCGAGTAGCGCGCGAGAGCATTCCCAAGATGGGTGACCCGTCGGGAAGTTCTCGTGTGAGTTCCCAAAAACAAAACCGTGAGGGCGTGGTGAGGGCCCAAAGCGGACAATATCGTGCTACGGTGGTGGAGCGGGCCCGGGAAGTCGTCCCACCCGGGCCGGGATGTGACAGTTATGGTCTTTTTTCGTCAAAATTCGTTAGAATTTTGTCAAAATTAGTTATGTTGGAAAGACGATTGCTACAACTAGGTTAAAGTTGAGAGACCATTGCTCAAATTGGGTTAAATTTGAGGGACCATTGCTCAAATTGGGTTAAATTTAAGGGACAATTTCTCCAGTTAGATTAAAATTGAGGGACTAATAGTAATGGATTTTTAGTTAAGGGACCACAACTGCACGTTTTGATGAGTTGATGGACCAACGGTAATGAATTTTTAGTTGAGGAACCAATGGTAATGAATTTTTAATTGAGGAACTATTACTCCAATTGAGTTAGAGGGTTAAACTTGAGGGACAATTTTTTCAGTTGGATTAAAGTTGAGGGACCAATAGTAATGAATTTTTAGTTAAGGGACCACAGCTGCACGTTTTGATAAGTTGAGGGACCAATGGTAATGAATTTTTAGTTGAGGGACCAATGGTAATGAATTTTTAATTGAGGGACTATTGCTCTAATTGAGTTAGAGGTAATGAACTATTACTACAATTTACTCAAAATTTAAACCTAAGACACATGCAGAAACTCAACATAATATCAATTCAAAGTCTTTAAAAAATATATTTAATGGTGCGTTTACTAATCCGTAATCAAATTAAGAGGAATTGGATTGAGGGGGAATTTGATTGAGAATGAATTGAAATGAGGTGGAATCAGAATCAGATTCCTGTTGAAGTTGTTTACTAAAACTGTCTGGAATTGGAGTAGGAATGATGTTGAGTCCATATAAGTTGTTTAATAATTCACTTCAATCGGAATGAAAACTAGTTTGATTACTATATTGCCCTTACATAAATAAATTATTTTCATACTAATTAATTAAATTAAATTCTTAATTAAATTTTTATAATAAAATTCATCTATATAAGCATATATAAATAGGTTTTATTTATTTATTAAAAGATGGTAAGAATGATGTTGAGTTTATATAAGTTGTTTACTAATTCACTTCAATCAGAATGAAAACTAAGTTGATAACTAAATTGCTCTTACATAAATAAATTATTTCATACTAATTAATTAAATTAAATTATTAATTAAATTTATATAAATTTATAAATTTATCTATATAAAAATATAAAAATAGGTTTTATTTATTTATTAAAAATGACATAATGAGTGTCAAATGAGAGGCAATGTTGGGATAATAAGAAACAAGTGAGGGAATAATAGGAATAAAATATGCATTCCCGATTCCCTTACTCTCAGGGAATTCAAATACCTCACAAAACTAAGGAATCTTGTTCCTTCAATTTTAAGAATTGGATTCCTTGTTTCGTGTGAGTTTCATCATTTTTTTTATTCCTTAATATTTAATAAACATCAAAATACTCCATAATCAAAATTCAATTAGCCTTACTTATTCCGATTATCTTACCTTACGTCAACGTGCCATAAGGGTAAATTAAGAGCAATTTTTCATTGATTAAATTTAATTTTTTGTTGCTTTGGTGGCACCTTGATGGAGATGCCCTTGGTGACACCAAAAGGCAAATTAGTGACAACCACTGGACCCACTTCCTCTCTTTTTCTTGATTCACAATCAAAAAGATTCAAAAACAAAACTACAGCTCTGCAATATCTCCTCTCTCTCTCTCTCTCTCTCTCACACACACCTACCCATGTGGGGTCCATATTATATTTTCTCAAAGATTAGCCACACCTATATATGTCACATAATCTCTTCCATTCAATTCTAATTTTTAAATTTTATGTACTATTGTTAATAAATATGGGATACAAGTTCACATCCATCTGTTCATTAATATTTATAAACGTGTTTACTTACATAAAATAAGTATCGAAATAAACTTCCGCACATGTTTACCAAAATATGAGTACCATAATGATTCGAATTTGTACTTTTTAGTCTCTTTTTAATTTGTGACTTCTCTCGTTTCAAGTAAGTAAATTTATTTTTCTCCTATTCCCTCTTAAGTTTTTGAAATTGTATCAATTTACACCTTTGTCTAATGAATTATTTGAATCTTTATTAAATTAATGACATGGTAAGTATGAAATCTGTAACAGAATTGACATTTAAGCCACGTTTAAACTACGTAGCCTGTAAAACATGAGGTAGGATTCTCTTATCTCTTTTTTTCTCTCCTCTTCCCCTTCTATTTGAACGGTCATGATTAAGTCACGTCAACCTATTATATATATTTTTTTATAGAAAGAGAAAAATAAAATAGAGAATATGATAAGAATGGATGGAAGGAGATGAAAATAAGAGGGAAGAGAATTCTAATCTGTAAAACACATTAATTCAATAGATAATTAGACGTTTAAATATATAACACATGTAAATCCATACAATGTCAAAATTTTAGGTCTCAAAATTTAAAAGTGAAAAATGTGGTCGGCATGTGGAGCATGAGTGGGTGTCAACTCAAGTAACAACTAATGGAGGTTTGGGAGCAGAGAATATGATAAGCATGCCACTTCCAAAGAGACAGAGAGACAAAAAACACTGGAGTTTAGCTCAAGGGGCAGGGAAGGGTCCCCCACCCAAGGGGAGGGTCCTAGAGAAAGTCCCTCCCAAAAGGGAGGCATTTCAAGCACGTCAATTCACAATCCATTCCAATATTCTTTCTACCAGACAAGATCTTGCAAGCTTATCTCTCCAACTCAACCAAATCAAAACCATATCTCTATTCATTTCAACCTTCCAATCCCGGAACTGGATCCTCTCCGAGGCAAACCTTCGGACAGGTCATTATATTTTGATCCAACAGCTATAATTATTATAACTTTAAAAGAGACATTCCTGTTTGTAGCCGTTGAATCAAAATCCAACAGCCCGTGTTTCTCGCTCAGCAGGATCCCGAGGGTTTGCCTCGGAGAGAATCCAGGTCCTACAATCCCCACCCTGTGCATACACCTCCCTTTTCTTCTTCTCTTCCTTTCTATTTTCTTAATTTTATCTAGTCTCAACTTTAAAACAAAGCTAACATTTCCCAATTGGACACTGCTTGGTTGCTAAAAGTTCAGCAGCAACTCCTGTTGATAACCAATTACATTCGGACATGTGTCTAAATAATTAAAATTATAAACACAGATTGAACTCGAGTCCAAATGTGGTTGGATATCACCAGGAGTTGCTTATGAAACATCCGGCAGTCAAGTAGTGTCCGTCCCAATTCACATTCTCTATTGCTTGCTTGCAATTTCTTTATTTTAACAACGCAATATTCAAAGTTATTCTAATACACATGGAGAGGGATTTAAATTTGATAATACTACGTTTATCGCATTTTTGTATCATGTTTCTAATAAAAATAGACTCCATCAACATATGTGAATTTTATCTCTATTAAAAATATGTTAATAATAATACAAATATGGGATAATAGTATTATTTTTATTTGAATTTAGGTTCGGACACCATTTTTTATCCTAACTCGTTTCTTTTTCCTTAAACCGGACCGATCCAAACCGATAATTCATTGTTTTTAGTAAACTACCATAAACCACATATATTCACTCATTCGAAATGTAATCAGTTAATTAGTAGTATTAATATTGTAACTCATAGTCACATATAAACAAACAAAATAAATCAAAGGCAAAGAAAAAACAAAAAACAAATAAAAATGGAAAGTAATTCATCAAAAACCGTTAAAACGGGTAATTGCAGTTTGGCCCCGAAAAAGAAAAGCGCGATTGCGGTACTATCGGGTCCGATTGATCTAATCAGCGTTGGTCATTTTCAACCGTCGGATCGGAGAACCAAGCGACGAGGGCGACGAGGGCGACGCCGGAGCCGAGAACGACGATGACAAAGGAGGCGACGGGGATTTAGACGGAGACGACGAGGACGACGACGGCGACGACGGAAAAATGGACGGCGGTGATGAAGGCATCGTCGGATCACACGGCTCGCGTAGCTTTCTCTTGTTCATTCCTCCACCGCTCTCTTCCACTCCGACATCCCTCGCCGTCGTCATGTAATCCTTCAGCCTCTTGACGTCAGCTAACTTCACCGGTTTAACTATGAAGTCCTCCGCACCTTCTTCCAAACACCTGCCGAACACAAAAAAAAAAAAAAAACCCAAAAATTTAAATTAAAAATCAAAACCCAAACTTTAAATTAACAATCCAAATTAATTGCAAAAACCAATTAACCGCGAAGATAATTGGATAATTATACATTAATGTTGGAGGGAATAATTACCGGTCTATGCGCGCCAAAACGTTCTCGGATGACATAATCACGACGGGAGTTGCTTTGAATGTGGAAGATTCTTTGATTTTCTTGAGCAATTCGTAGCCGGTCATCCCAGGCATACAGTAATCCGTGATGATCAGGTCCACCTTCAAGCCCTGCACATAATAACAGAGAACCAAAAATTTTATTCGAAAATAATTGAAATTTAAGAGATGAAAACCAGAAGCCATTGATCGAACTTACGTCGAATCCGGCGGTGGAGCTCTTCTCCTCGTCCAGGCCGAGGAACTGTAGAGCTCTTCTTCCGCTGTCAACAGTCGTCACTTCACCCAAAAAAATCCAAATCAAAAACATAGAAAACAAAAAACGACGACGTTTCCAGAAAATGTAACTGTGTTTTCGGATTCTACCTTTGCAGGAGGAAATTTTGAGCAATCGCTCGATGACCTTGCGATCGACGAGGCTGTCGTCGACGGCGAGAACGTGAGCTTCTTCCGAAACCAACGGCGGCGAGAGATCGAGCTTCTCCGACTTCCTCCGCCACGAAGCGACACCGTTCCTCGCCATCTTCCGGATTGGAATCGGAGAAGATAAAAACAAGGTTGCTCTGCTTTCTGTGGCTGAAGTTTTATGACAAATGGTGGAGAGAAATGGCGAGGTGAAAGTTGTCTGTCTGCGTCACGGAGTGTAGGGGTTTCTCTCTCTTAATATAGTATTGTTCTCTTTCGCCAAATCAAATCTTTCTCTCTCTAACAAATCTCACAATCTACTTTATAATATTTGTTTAATTTTAATCCATAAAACGCTGAGATCCTCAAATCCACCATGATGCGATCTTCCCAATCAGACCTTGAAAAATTAATCAAGGGTCCAAATAATATTTTCGAATTTCAATTGTTGGAATAATCAATTTTATCATTTAAAATCATTATTAGCTTTGTTATGTCATTGAATTATTATTTTTTGACAAAAAATATGATAGTTACATTAAATTTTATTTAAACTATATCATTACTTATATCATATATTTAATAGAAGTAGTGTATGCTGACGTATGTAAATTCCAGCTCTATTAACTAAATGATACAAACATATAGTACAAATAGAGGCTACGAATAACATTTTGTTATTTTATACTTGTAATTCTATTCCTTTATTTTTTTTTTGTTTTAAATATGTTTTTATATTTTATGAGTTTGAGTTTTTTTTTAAATTAAATGTTTTATCTTAGATTCTGATTAAGGAGTATTTTTAGGATTATTGGTCGTTTTTGCCTTCCGACTTATATATAAATGAGAATTCAAACTTGAATGTTGAAAATGACTCCTCTAGTTACTTTAAAGAGTAATGCTAGATAGACTAATTTTATAAATTAAATTTGTAAACTAAATGATGTGTAATTAATAAAAAATCAGCATATTTATCAATGTTTAAATAATAATTCAATCATCAACTTCTATATTATTTAATCTATAAATTTTGATCTCACTAGTATTACTCTAATTTAAAACACACTAATGTATTCTTAATCATTAATTGTTTTGTTGTTCACCAGTTGAGATTTAATTTTCAAACAAAATTAAAAAAGTGATATAGTGATCGAGACAAGAAAATGATGGTTAATGTAAAGTGAAGATTATGGTCAACGTCGGGGTTTGTGCGGAGTGACAGGACGACTGTGTTGACCGGCGGTCAGCGGAGGACCGCACCGTCAAAACCTTGGGCAGGCGCGCGAGTACCGAACCGGCGGCACGAAACGAGGGAAAAATTAGGGGACCGGGTTTTGCCGGTGGCATTGACTGTTGAGTTTGGTACAGACTACACAGTGACCGGTGAGCTTCCCCGTGTTTTGGTGGGTTTTTTTTTACCAAAAAACATGTTTTGTTGGGTTGTAATAAAAAGAAAGGGATCCTTCCCGAATTCTTTCCATTAAATTCATAAAATTTAATTAATCTGAATCTTTGAAATTTGATCAAATAGTTAAAAATAGAGATTCTTTTTAAAATTATAATAATTTTAATTGTTAAATCAAATTTCAAAAGCTTAAATTGGTAGATTTGATAAAAAGAATCCAGCGGAATAAAAAGACTTGGCAAGCAGTATCTCCTCCCGAATCTTGGCTTGTCCCCACAGACCCCACACCTCTTCTTTCCACGTGCTACCTCATGCTCCGTTCCCCCTTTCCATTTTTTTCTTAACAAATAAATTACTATTGGTTTTTTGACTACTTTCTATTGGTTAAACGCTGTCATTAAATAATTTTTGTGGTTAATGTGTTCAAGAACTTAGAATTAACTCAAGTGAGTAATTAACAAGGGGTTCATAATTTAATTTGGTAAAGAGTATTTGATTTTTAGTTGAAGTCCTTGCTTTGTTGACAATCTGGAACGTAGTCTATTGAAGATGAAGAATTTACCCACTACTGACAATTTATCACTTGCTGTTATATTAATTGGCATCACTCGGTCCAGTTGTCATACCTATTATAAAAATATGATTATTGAAGGTTTGTTTCATAATTATTCAGTTTTTAGGTTTAAAAAAATAAAATTCATATGGTTATTACCAAAGTCGAAAAACTCCAAAAAAATAATTTTTCATTTTAAATAAAAATAAAATGTTTATCAAACAACTTTTAATTGTTATTTACAAGTTCACAGTTCATATATGAGGCCACTTAGTTGATGCTTGGGGTAAACTAATGAAGCGTACCAAACGTTGGGTTATGTTAGCCACAATTGTTCATGTGTGCGTATCATCTTATGGCTCTGCCATTGGTGTGGACTCTCTCCTTCCCTTCACAACAAAAATACAATTTTTATTTTCCTGTGAGTAAGAGATCTGAAATTCTATTTTTCGCCAAAAATTAATTAAAACTAAATTATTATGGATGATATATTATTATATTTGACCCATTTCCTCAATCTTAGTGCAGATAAACTCAAATTTATTTAAAAAAAAAAACTCAAGAAAATAGAAAAATCAAAAAGTTGCTTTTTATGGTGTGTAATCCCTATGACCACATAACCATAGTTTAAAAGAACATAAATACTAATAAGACTTTTCAAAAATAAGATTCTCTGCAAACTCTATGTCACTCCACGTTTTTAACATAATATTTTACAATGTTATGAAAATTAACGTCAGACTATAAGGTGACGAAAGTATATAAAAATCCTAATTTGAGAAGGTTCCCTCAACATTCCTCTTAAAAGAAGTAATATTTTGCGAAATTTCCCAACAATGGGTGTTTAAGGCAACGAGACAAGAAATAGAATCGAGGAGATTTGGGAGTCCCAAAATAATGTGGAGGTGGGACCCAACAGTACCCTTTTTATTGCTTGGACTTTTGCTTCCAAAATTCAAAATTTAATTTCACACACTGCATATCAAATCTCTTTTTTTTTTTTTTTTTCTTTTTCTTTGTCAAAGCATATCAAATCTTTTGGGATACCATCAAATATCGTCATCGCTCGTATTGTCTTTCCGAGATTGATTTCCCATCTCTCTCGTAGTCATACTCACACATACATATAAATATAAAATATATGTATATATTTACAGCTGGTCAGTTCGGATTGTTGGGTAAACGATTTGATGGTTGTCATCAGAATCCCAGCTCCCACGGTGTCATCCGATTATGGTCCAACGTGTGACAGAATTTCAGCCCAACATTTGGCACACTTCATTAGTTTACCCAAACATCCACTAAGTTGTTAATACTTTATTAATTTGTGATGCTTTGGTCACAGTTGTTCACGTACGTGTCATCTTTTCTCTCTGGTCATTGGAACCTTGTTACGGCTTGGAGTCGGCGACAACCTTCCTTCCTTTTCCTTTTACACTTTTTCTTCTTCTTCCTTCACCACCCACGCCTCCATTTCCCTTATCTCTTTAGGCCATATCTAACAGAAGGGTTCAGAGGGCTAGAAAGTAAAAAATAGCCTAAAAATTATCTTCAACTGAGGACTAGGCCAAAGAGCTATAGAATCTGAGAGGGTCCCACAAAATCGAAGAGGGCTAAAGGGCTAGAGGGCTGGCCATTTTTTTTTTGCTTATGTTGGATTTTTTTAACAGTTTTATTATTATTTTTTATTTACAAAAAATTTCCTATAACTTCTATTTTTCTTATATTTTTTTTTAAATTCTATTTGTTCCTATAACTTTTATTTTACAAATTTGTTTCATATTTTTTTTTTAAATTTCATTTTTTCCTATAACTTCTATTTCACAAAATTTGTTTCATTTTATTTTAAATTCTATTTTTTTTTCCTATAACTTCTATTTCACAAAATTTGTTTCATATTTTTTTTAATTCTATTTTTTTCTATAACCTCCTAAGCCATTATATAACATTAAATTAAATTAAGTAACATGAAACACCATTAAACATTATTAATAACATTAACCAACATAAAAATTATACAACATAAAAAAAAACACTTAACAACATGAAACTTAAACAACATTTAAGTTGTAGTTTTTAAATAATAAATTATGCTTGGTCTTATGGCCCTTTGACCCTCGGTTGGAGACCGTTTTTTGTAACAGGGCTAAAACGAGCCATCTGGCCCTTGGTTGGAGACGGAGGCAAATATGGGCATGTACTGTTCATTAAAATATTAATATCTTGAAGAATCTTGGAAGGCTAGAGGGCTAAAACAAACCATCTGGCCAGCCCTCGGTTGGAGATGACCTTACCCACATTTTGTGAGCAACCCTCCATGTTTTAATGGAGTTCCTCTCCCAAACCCATATCTACACCTTATTACGGGTTAGATTTGTCCATTTGGGGTCGTATTCGTGGTTTTGGTGGGTCGAAACCGCCTTCTATTGCTTGGTTTCCATGGTGGACACAAGCTCATCAGTCATTCAGTGCTCCTCGGTCATGACTGCTGTGAATCTTTATCGATTCAACAATGTTGTAGACCCACGTCGTAGCTTAGTAGCCTTCCATGGCTAGATTAGTGAGGATTCTCCTTGCTTGGCCATGATTGTTGCGGATGTCAAGACTATCGTGTCTTTTTTTTCGCTGTGGAGATGATCCCAAATGGTGGTTTCCTTCTCAAATTAGTGTGATTTGTGTTTGTTATAGCCACTTAGCAGTTTATGTGGCTTCACTTTTTAGCCATTTAACTTTGTGTTTTAATCGATTTTGGATATGTCACCATTGATCTGTTGTGGTAGATTTGCACTGCTGGTTCTTGTGCAGGTGTTATTGTTTGTTTCTTATGGTGACTATTTAGAAGATTTATTATTGCTTGTTAATCTATCTAGATCAAAGATTTGGTCACTAGAGAAAATGCACTCAGTTGACACAACCATCGTAATCATGCTGTAATTGTATTCTCTATTGATGAATTATTTGTGTGTAATGTTTTCATAAACTTATTATAAGAAAAATAATGATAAGTATACCAGCTTTTTAGACTAAATTTGCAAACTATATGATGTGTCATCAGTAGGCATTAAGTACGTTAATCAACATTCAAGTAATAATTTAATTATCAACAACTACGTCATATAATTTACAAGATTTGGTTTAAAAGATTAATCTTCTTAACATTATCCATGATAAGAAAATTAAAGGTACAATTCGCCGATAGAATATCAAATCGATATGTTACACGCATCCATGCTCTAGAAAAACTCGGGCTTAAAACGAATGATCTTCTTCTTCTAACTATTCATTTAAAATTGTATAGGATGCATGTTGCAACTACTACTAGCCAAGTAGATACATGCATTTAGACCCCCATCATTGCTAAGTTGTCTTAAATTATGGCTTGAAATCTTCGCCTTGAATTCGGAAAGAGGTATTTTTAAGAATTGGTTGACTTTGTAATCATGAAAGCCATTTCCATTAAACGACCTCTCTTTTTACAATTGGAGTCGATTAAAATAATACTGCATTTGATTTTAGTCAAACTTAATCTCAATTTTAATGTTTAGGGCATCAATTAGGTCCCACAAAATTATATTGCCTCGACACCTTTACATGATTATCAAAAGATCGTTGATCATGTGGGGTTGCAACTCGCCATTGTCCCAAATTCCACTCATCGGGTCGGGTTGGTTTGGTTCGGATTAAAATATAAAAGATAATGAATAATCGAGCATTTATTAAGGAGATGTCAAATTTTAAGCTCTAATCTATATGTTACTCTTATGTTGATTGACAGAGATATTGTGTGTTGCCAATTCTATGTCAAACTATAACTGATGTCTTTATATTTTTATGCGGGTCTTAGTAATGTACTAATCATAAATCATGAAAAAGTAATTTTTATTGATTTGTTTTGAAGTAGGTCCTACAATAATAATTGAATAAACAAATTATTTGAGTTGGAGAAAAAAAAATTAACATTGCCACATAGCCTTTCCAATTTACATTTGACATTTTCATAGGAGATATTCTAAGTAGCAATTGATCATTATTTAATTATGTAGTTCACAATAAATAGATGTATGGAGCATATTCGGTCATGCAATTAAGGTTGAAAACTAATCACAATTGAAAAACACCTCTCATACTTATAATTGTTTTTTTCAAGTTTCTTTTCTTTTGATCCAAAACATACCACAGATTAGGATCCATGATCGTTTATTTTTTAGTTATTGGTTCATGCAACGAGGCCGTTTTAGAATTTTCGGTTTGCTTGACATTGATTTTGGAAAGATTAAAATTACTTTCAAATGACATTAAAAAAAATAAAAAAAGCATACATATTACGCTTCATTCGTAAAATATCTATTATGTACCCTAATGAGAAACGATTTTATTTACCAATGTTATTTATAATACTTAACGGAGATGCATATCTAGAAATTACTTTCATACGTGACTTTTGGAGGTAAAAAAGAGAATCACGGTGTGAATGATCCTTCTTTTTCTTTAAAGATATGGCATCTCACTTTTTGTAATACGAGTGGGATTGTGGCATCTTTTTCTTTGTTGTTGTATCTTGTTCTTGTACCAGCAATTTATTTATTGGAGCAATGGATCTCTCTTTACCAAACAGGCAATGAGAACAAATTTTCTTTTTTTATTCAACCACAAAAGGAAGATTTGAGAGGGACAATTGACTCAACCGAGGAATGGGAGATTATGGGAATATAAATATTATTGATTAATAAGATTAGGAAAATGGAATCTCATCACTCCAATGGCGTTTAGGGAAGGTGCTGCTGAACAATTAAGGGTGAAAAAAACATCGTGTGGTAGGCTGGCAATTTTATTTAAATAAACAATACGCACCAAGCAAACGTTCGCGTAAACTCTTGTTAGAGTGGGTTAGTAACAGATTCAGGATTTTAATATTGGATGATCCTAATTAAGGTATGCTAGGTGCTAGTTGGGTGACGAGCTGAGGTGTAGCGCCTCTGCACCCAGACGAGACTTAGGCAAACTAGGCGAATTTAAATAAATTTATTATATATCATATAAATAAGTGTCTATTACACTTAAAAAACACTATGCTTGTGTTGAGATATTGGGTTTATTATTTTAATTAGGTTTATCATTTAATATACAACGTAGAAAAATGTCAGAGTTTTTGCTTTAGTATTTTAGTTAATTTGATGGTAAGAGATGAAATCTCAAGTGATTACGAGTTCGTAATACTTTACGAATTGTTGTTCAAATGTCTTACGAATTTATAGTGAATTTTACAATAAATAATGGTGTCAAACATATGGTATAAAAAAGTATTGGTTAAATAATACATCACCCATTTATTAATTAAAATGTTAGGTGACACAACCTGATTGGACCACAATTAAAAAGAAGAAAAAGAAAAATGAGGAGTTTGTTGCGTGAGAAGTGGAGAGAGAGTCATTTTCTTTTTCTTCTTCATTGGAACTAAGGTCCAATAACAACAGAGCCGTGGTAGTATTCTCTGTGTTTCTTTTTGTCTAAAATTAGATATTTCTTCTTGGTTCAAAGCTTCTGTTGCACATCATTTGCACAACCATGATGCTCTTCTCTCTTTCACCACCTGCCCATACCATTGCGTGGTCCTCACATGCGCTTCTTTGGGCTTCCGAGTGTTCCCGAGACCATCCAGTTTCACGAATGGATCCGCCATTGAAGTGGATATACTTTTTTTATAACTTTGAGTCAAACTTTATCTCAGTAAGTTAGATCAGATTAAAGTAGAATATTTATTGTCTACCAAAAACACTCAACTCTATCCACCACCTGATACAAACGAACTCAGGGCATTACATTGGACGCACACAATAATATTTGTACCAAACATGGTGGCACTAGTGAGATCTAAGAATTTTTACTATAATGTTCATAAAGGGATATATTTTGGGTTGATTTTAATACAAAATGTTTCTTTTTTTTGTTAGGAAAAGTTAGTGTTCTGTTTGTGCATGCTTAAGCTACTAAACTAATTAATCACTCAAATCAGTAGTTGGGGTTTATTATTAGGAAAATGACACAAAGCTTAAAACAAAAGCACAGAATCTTACAACAGCCACTAAAATCGAACCCCATTTTTCATTCCTTCATATGGAAATGGAAGCAAAGAAAAAAAGTGGGATGTGTATTTTGCTTATTGACTCATCTTCCTCACAAAAGGTAGCGAAAATGACCGTTAATTGACCAATTTAGAATTGCTAAAAACGCTTTTAGATATTATAAAGTGTTTATGATAATGTTTGAGCTAAAAGCAAAAAGTACTTCCGAGTTGAAAAATAATTTAAAGTTTATCATACATGGTGCCGTACTACTAAAAAAACACATTTTTATTAAAAACGTTTAGGGCAAAAATATTTTCACGACAAACATATCCAGGGTTTCAAACTTTATTACTAAATGGGCCTAGTTACTATTGGGTTGAGTTCGAAAGGCCCATAACTGTTCAGTCCGACGTCCGTAGTCCGGAGTTCGTACCGTATAAACGTATCCAAGTTCGAACGAGAGAGAGAGAGGGGAAGAGCAGAGTTTTCTGCGAAACGATGGAGTGTGCCGGGAAGGGACTGGGTACTCGGTGCACGGGCCCACCCACCAGACGATGTGCTTGCTGTGGAGCCGTCGCTTACTGCGCCGTATCTCACCAGGTACTTCTCTCTCCTCTCTGTCTCTCTGTCTCTCTTCGATTGTCTCTGCTTCATGCAAATCACACAGCATAATCACGGTTAATTTAAGAAAATAGCACTTGGGTTAGTCTTAATTTGTGCTGAAATGGTCTGTGTGGAAGGGATAAATTGGTTTAATTTGTTTATTGAGTTGGGTTTTCTTTGAATTTAAGCGATTGCCCGTGCTACTATATAACTTTTTGGCCTAGATTGCGCATTGGCCTGAGCACAAAGAAGAGTGCGCAAGGTTAGAGCAACATATGAAGCATATGGACACCTTGAACGAGTTTCCTTTCACTTTTACTCAAGAAGCTACAGTTCAGGTATTCCACGATTTCTTTGTAAGACGGAAAACAATGAGTAATGTTGTTTCTATTAGCTGGTTTACTGTCCGAGGGTCTTCACTGATAATATCTCTTTCGGGTGTGATCTTGTTAGGTGTGTGAAAAGCACGAGACGAGGTGTTCAGTCTTGGAAAAAAGAGGGGTCCATCAAATGGGAATGTGGTTGTATGAATGTTGTTGCGGGGATTCAGTTGTTTCGTTTGATTGTTTAAGGTTTCATTCTGCCTGGTACATCTGAATTTCTCTGTATTATATCGTTTTCCATGTTGATTCTAATTCCGGTCCTTTGTATTTTTCCATTGGCAGGTTGAATGGTTCTTGGGATCTCTCGAACACCTTTTGCCCTTGTACTGGTATCGTCTTGTTCATCTTACTAAGATAATTCAAGAGAAGATGTTTGTAGATTTATGACATACACTTGCAAACCCTCTATTTGTAATATCAACATGCAGAACCTTCAGTTATGATATCAGAGTGTTTAGCCAGTTGGAAGGAGTACTATGAGTGGAGGTCCATCCCGCTGCATTCACCTGTTGCATTGCTTCTCCATTGGGTATGATAGGTGTGTTAGCTGAGAGTTAGAATTTGTGTATAAAATCAAACCCGAACCATTTGTAAACAGTTGGGAGTGCATATTAAGAAAAGATACCTAATTGCCTTTAGTACATGGGAGCCTAATTTAACATTCGCTCCCATCCGAATCCATAAGTCCAATTTAAATGCTGGAAATTATTTACATCTGTTTTTTCATTTCAGCCTCTTACAATTTACTATGCCACTCAAGTAGCTGGTTTGGGAAGCTGGACTTCTGGAATCAGCAACAAATTGTACATACACTATCTTGGTATGTGTTTTCTTCGAATTTCTAATTCTGCTACCATTGCAAATTTTTAAGAGTCATCCTGAAAGTTGTCGGGTTTGATATCTTTGGTTTACTATCATTGTTATATTGGAATTTCGTTCATGAACTAAACTTGGTCAGGCCCTGAGAAAGAGCTTCTTCAGCTTTCTGTCTTCTCAGAGTTGCGTGCACTTTTCCCTAACATGAACGTGCATATAGAGCTTGTTGGGCCTTCGATTCCACAGCAAAGGTTGGTTCTATAGTTTGAAATGATGTTTTGCTTGGTATTCATTTACATTCGTTTTTTATTGAACTTCACTCATGGAGATAAAACAAGGGTTGCTTGCTTGTGTTTGCTGCACTCTTGTGAAATATCTCTGATTTATATTTGATTCTCCCTGGCCTCTTCGAGATGTATAGAGATGGTGAGATGATCGCGTTATCCGAGTATGCACATTGCCTTGATAGAGATTGCATTTGTAAATCCTCAAGTGAGACTGTCAGCGGGGATGTACATGCTAGTGAACCTTCAGCAGTTACATTGCAACTTAGAAGCGGCTTTTATCACGACCGTTACAGGGATATAACTAAGGTTGTATACTTTGTCTCTTTCTATGGACATAAATTCATGCTAAGGATCATGTGTTTTCTCTTTAGCCTTATCGGTTTTCCTTTTTGTGGTTTCTCATGACTTCTCAAATGTGTGTAGGATTCATCACCTCACTTGGTCATCGCTCCAAATGCAGGAATTGCTGCCTATTCAAGCTGGTTACCGACTATTGTCAGTTTTTGATACCTAATCGTCTCTTGTTTTGGTTCCTTTATTTTAATCCTTTTCTCTTAATTTTGTTGGTTGCATCGCGGTGTGTTTCAGGAGCTACTAAAGGATATGAACATCCCAGCAGTTTTTTCCGATTACTGCAAAGAAGCTTGTCATCTTGGAGCTTGTTGCATAAGCAGCATAACTGGCCGTCCTCTCAATATCCCTGTATGTTAACCTTACTCAACTGTTATTATAGTCTGGCATTAAACCATAGCTGCTTAATCTGATTATACCAAAATCCATAGCCTCTGCCATGTAGATTCAGTTAAATCCGTTTAGGCAGCCGATGGTGGTGGAAGACAGTGTTCTTGTTCTTCCTTGCTACTCGAATTGCTTCCTGTACGGGATGTCAAATTGGTCGGTCTAAAATCATACGTTGTTTTGAAGATCGCCGGCTTCTTTGAATGAGTCTGCCGCGTCTCTTGACGAAAAGGAGGGCAAGTTATCAAGGTAGACGAAACCCATTTCGTGATGATTTTCTCTTCAAATTGTGTGATATCCCAGTCTAAGAGATTTTACAAAATTGTACAAGTTCAGTTCATGATGTAAATATCTATTTTATGCAGTTAGAGCTTGGTTGATGTTGTACATTCTTGTCAAAATTAACTAACGCAATTAACCTGACGTAATTCTAACTCATCTCCCCGCCCCAAGAATGTACAACATCAACTAGCGCAATTGACCTCATGTAATTCTAACTCTAACTAACGCGGTTAGACATTGGTTGAAGTTGTACATTATCGAGACTTAATGTATTTCTCTTTTTAGTTTTTTAGATTGAAAAGGTGCGCGTGTTTCTTTTATTATTTTCCGTGAAGTTTTCAAACAACGCGTCTTTTTAAGATGACATTATTCTTGATTCTGACGATCGAGTTTTAGGCGACTGCTTTAGTCACCTTACGGACCTCACTAGGGAACAAATCAGCATATTAACAAGAAGTTTTGAGGGGGACGGAGAGTGCAATGTGAAGCATACGGTGTCGTTTCTACTAATCATCCAACGGACATAACAGAACGTGGCCGGCGGTCCGATCTACCTAAAACAAAGTCAAAAGTCGGTCACTGAAAATTCCAAAATTCCAAAATTCCAAAAATTTCCAACAACAAGGAACATGGATAATCACCACCTCTGACCAACATCTTCTCTTCACGTCCCCAAATTCTAGGGTTAGGGTTAGGGTTAAGATTTTCCCGCCCGGAAAATCTCATCTTTCCAACCATCAATCAATGTCTCTCTTCTCCCGCACACCACGGCTGCTGTTACTTTTGTTATGCTTTCTAGGGTTGGGGTCAGGATTTGGGGACGCTCTGAAGGTGCCCCTTAGGATCAAGGACGTGCTTCCGGTTCTGCCAAGGCAGATATCGTGGCCGGTGCTCAACAATTTCCATAGTGCTGTGGATTTGTTGCCTTCTTTTATTGGGTCGGTGACTCCGGACAACAGCTCGATTCAATGGGAAGGAGCTTGCTTTTCCGGTAACCAGGCACGGCTCGAGTTCACCGAAGGCGATCGGGGCAAACCCGATTTGGGAGGCGGCGTTCTTTATCTAAAGGTTCGATCTTTTGCTTTTGTTCCCTTAAATTTGATTTGAAATTTGTTAGGTATTATGTGGGTACTTGAATAATTGAATGCTTTTGTCTTGAATTGAGTAAATTTTTAGCTGAATTCAGTTTATTGAGATCTTGGTTTGAACTTTGAGCTGTAAATTATTGTAGATTTTATGGTCAATGGGGTTGGTTTTATCAAATTTGTTAATCTGCAGACTTCTGAGGCACACAGCTGGGCGTGTATGGATCTTTATGTTTTTGCAACACCATATCGGATTACATGGGATTACTACTTCTCTGCTCGAGAACATACATTGAAATTCGACTCGTGGGAAGAGGCTGCAGAATTGGAATATGTATGTGCATTCAATAACCGAAATTTGTTTGAATAAGCTAGGAAAACTTATTTGATTCAAGTTGACACACTGATGACTGTTGAGCAGGTAAAGCAGCACGGGGTCTCTGTGTTTCTGATGCCATCAGGCATGCTGGGGACGATGCTGTCTTTAATAGATGTTTTGCCTCTGTTTTCCAACACTGCTTGGGGTCAAAGTGCAAACTTGGATTTTTTGAAGAAGCACATGGGTGCAACATTTGAAAAACGTTCTCACCCGTGGCAGACGACTATAAATCCTGCAGATGTTCATACTGGTGATTTTCTAGCAGTTTCAAAGATCCGTGGTAGATGGGGCGGTTTTGAGACATTGGAAAAATGGGTAACAGGAGCATTTGCTGGCCATACAGCAGTGTGCTTGAAGGATGAGATGGGCAACCTATGGGTTGGTGAATCAGGACACGAGAATGAAAAGGTATCACATCGAGAACCTTCGTAGGTAATAGTGGTTAAAATGTTAAGGGATAGTATGGCACAAGTTCACCCTAATGGTATATAGCTTTAGTAAATAAACATCACTATGTACATTTCATGTTTTCTCTTTGCTTGTTGGGAGTACATGCTTAGTGAAGCAACACATTTCATGTGTTTGGGATATATTAGGAACAGAAATTAAGCTAAATGTTTTGGTTCTTGCATATATTGGAATAATAGTTGAATCAGGATCATAGGTGATGAACATATGATGAGCGTTTGTTTAGGGACAAAATTAAACATATGACAATCTTGCACAGATTATTAATTTTTTTATAACTTTGCTTAGTTCTTTTCTTTTGGTGGAGTTATTGTGCTTAGTTCTTTTCTTTTTGGTGATTTTACATGTATTAATAATTTAATATTGCAGGGTGAAGAAATTATAGCAGTGATTCCATGGGATGAGTGGTGGGAGTTGGCACTCAAGGATAGTTCTAATCCACAAATAGCCTTGCTTCCCTTGCATCCAGATGTACGTGCAAAATTCAACTCCACTGCAGCATGGGAGTATGTTCGGAGCATGTCAGGGAAGCCATATGGTTATCACAACATGATATTTAGCTGGATTGACACCATGGCCGACAACTTTCCTCCTCCTCTTGATACTCACTTGGTATGGCATTTATTTCTTTAAAAAATTATGGGGTGTAGTACAATAAGCATTATAGAAATTGTTTGTAAATGAAGTTATTTTACTTGTACTGCATAGGTATGTATGGTTTTTTGGATGTAGCATGTTTGGTTTTATTAAGTTTTTTTATCCTTATTCGAACTCCTGTTTCCAGGTGGTTTCTGTCATGTCTATGTGGACCAGAATGCAGCCTGCATATGCTGCAAATATGTGGAATGAGGCTCTCAACAAGAGGCTTGATACAGAGGTAACTGTGCTTCACTTGAGGTTGCTATTAAATCATGTTATTTCACATTGTGCGCCGTACGGTTTACTTCTGTTGTTTTTTTTGAGAAATGAAGGATAGAGGTCTGCTTTTGGAATTCTAATCATCTTCCAAGTTTATACAAGTATTTTATCTACTTGCTTCATATTGAATTGTTTCTCAATTTTAACCTGTGTTTTTCCTCGTAGGGTTTGGACCTGTATGAGATTCTAGCTGAGGTTGAAAGTCGCGAAATGGCCTTTGATCACTTGCTTACAATTCCTGAACAAGATGAATGGGTATATAGTGATGGAAAATCTACCACATGCGTTGCTTTTATTCTTGCAATGTATAAAGAAGCCGGGATTTTCGGACCTATTTCCAACTCTATTCAAGTTACTGAGTTCACTGTAAGTCGCCTTGCACTTAATTTGTTTTCATTCACTTTCATAAGTGCACTATGCCAATATTACTACGTATGACACGGTTTTTTTAATACTTGCTTGCAGATTCGTGATGCATACATGCTTAAGGTTTTTGAGGATAACCAAACCCGCTTGCCAAGTTGGTGCAACGGTAAGGATGAAAAGCTCCCATTCTGCCAGATCCTTGGTGAATACCGGATGGAACTGCCTCTATATAACACGTTAGAGCCGTACGCTAACATGAACGAGCACTGCCCCTCCCTACCTCCTACTTACGACAGACCCACTCGTTGCTAAATCCGAATTCCACTAGATTTGTACCTCCCACGTAGGTAGGTATGACAATTTATCAAGATGCAGGTATCTATTAAAAAAATTCGTAACACGTTCGAGTGAGGAAACAGGCATTTCTCTCCTTGCTTGTTCCACAATTTATGTACATTCATTTAGCTAAAGTGAAACAAGGAAAGAAATGCCCGTTTTGTTTCACTTTAGCTAAATGAATGTACATAAATTGTGGAACAAGCAAGGAGACATGTTTACAAACTTTGTTATATAAAATGTTTGGAATTGTATAGTTTGTAAATTCCACGGATACTCAATCTTGGTGGATGCAAGATTTTATCTATCTATTTTGAGTGAGATGTGCGGTCGGAGAAATTCTACCATGCAAGCGGGAATACGTTTCTCGCTTCTTATCTCTCGTTGCACGCTTCTGTTTACGCTCAAGAATCTCTCCGAGAAACCCAAGAGGGTTCTCTCCGAGAAACCCAAGAGGGTTCCTTCCTCGACTATTGGAAATTCAGTTGGGAACAAGTTTTAACAGCGAAATGAATCGAAGCATGATTTGGAAACAAAGAAATCCACCAACTGTAATCGCTCAAATCTGTACGAAATACACAACAAACCGGAAAAAGGAGATAAAAAGGACAACATCGAAGAATAGTGGAGGATTTCTTTCTTCAATGGTTGCTTGCTTCTACTGCTTTCGGCTTGACTTGCACTTGCCCTTGATCCAATTGATGCCCAAATGACCTGCTATTTTAACCCTATTCATGCCAATTGATGCCGCAGTTTTTTTTCTTTCAAGCCCTTCTTCCACTTTTTTAGTATGGCTAACCTTGGCACCTTCACCGGAGCTCGCCTTGGTGTCGGAAACAGGAGCTGTGTCTTGGTTGCTGCCGGCCCCTTGATCTGCCCTTGTCCGATTCGGCCTAGTCGATTCCATGGACAAACTCTTCTATCCGCACTCACTTGAGATGCAGAATATGAGTTTTCTTGGGATTCAGGAAATCAAAATATGGGAATCACTTTGCTTGTATGCCAAGTAATCATTTTGGCTGTGAGAGGGCTGGTTCTTATGTTACAAAATCTTGTCACAGGAGAAACCAGAAGAGGCACAGCTCAAGGAAACAGAAGAACTTTCTTTCCTCACAATTAAATAACTGATATCGTTGAACCTTCTTGTAATAAATTAAAAGCTCCGGTAAAGGAACCGTCGCAGTTGCCACCCCTGGCCTGGTGGAAGCTTCCGGTTGTGGGGGGAGGGGGAGGAAGGTGAAATATAGTTCCTTATTCGAAGCTACAAGTCAACAAAAGCGTGCCTAAGTACAAACAGACGAACCAGGAATTTGCTTGGAAGGACAATCCTCAAATTCAGATAACGTTATTTATTTTTAAATCATTTTTTTTTTCGATATGGATTTAGACTGAATAGTAGAATATCATCCGCTACAATAAATAAATTAAGCATTATACAGGACTTTCATTATTTGACGTGATAACGAAGTAAACAGAGGACCAATGAAATGTCGAATTACGTTTAATCACTTGTTAAATAAACAAAACAGCCGATGTAAATTGGTTTTCACATCTGGATAATGATATATTTGTTATTGCATCAGCATGCAGGTACGTGCTAACTGCAGCAATATGCATAGAATATTGCACATGTGCATCGGAGCAAGGTAGGGTGACTCCTTAATCCAATCCAGTATCGATATTGTCCTCAACTTTAAGTAGCCAAAAGACATATGGGTTTGATCCGTGGAGTTGCACATGAGATTTTCCAACTAATTGAATTGTCACGCTTAGAGAGACGACGAATGGTTGAGACGATAGATGAACTGTGATTTGATCTAAAGTTGAGAGAATTAGGTACTGTGGATCAAGTACAATTGTTTAGAATCCATAATTAAACAAATTAAACGAAAATATTTGAAGCTTAAACCGAGTAAAAGTTATATAAAAACCATGAATCCTTACTCCTCTTCCAATACAAATAAAAAAAAATCATTTATTAACGAGAGTATGAACAATCAAATCTGTGCACAAACTATACAACAAAAACAACAAAGAAATCGTCACAAAATCAGAGAATGATTAAGCTGTGCGGCTAGCTAGCCCTAGCCCCTACTGTTTTCCGGTAGTCTTGTGGAACTTGTCCTTGATCCAGTGGAGTCCAAAACGAGCCCCTACCTTCACTTTGACCATGCCATTTGCTGCAACTGCCTTGGTCTTCCCAAACCCTTC